TTTTTAGCAACATAGTGCTCGTTAACATTCTACTACAAATAGGGGTATTTTTTCTCTCTTTCAGATCATCAGGAAATTAGCTGCCTGGAAGTCAATTCAAGTTCCAAACGACACTCAGAAATGGGAGCAGTCCTTTGTGAGCTGGCTCCCTGCTATTACAGGCTAACTGCTCTTCTCTTTCTCTCACTCTCCGGCTGCTCTCATTTAATTGAGAACATCCAGAATTTTTTCCTTGTGACTAATATAAAGAATCTTATTAACTCATTGAAGTCACATGTCCACATATAATCGTCATCACTCTGGTCTGGCCAGTTCGATGTGCCGATACCTCCACTCTGGGGCCCCTGAACCACACACCCCAGAACCACCTGGATGTGGAAATTGGCAGCTGTTAGAAAAGGGAAAATGGAAGTCGTGTCCACCACAGGTCACTGTCAAATAAAATATTGACTTCTGGTTTCCACTGTGACATATAAGAGCTTGGAAGTCCTTACTCTCATCTTTACAATAAGAAAAAAGATGAACAAACCAAAAACAGAAACTCTTTAGATCCATCAGATCATTGAAGTCACATGACTATGAAATTAACCTTTGCTGCTGCAAACCACTGAGATTTAGGGCTTCGTTAGCACAATACAACCTAGCCTATCTTCCTGATAAGGTGGAAAACATCTTTACCACACAAAGTGAGACACAAGATCAAAGAGCATGATAAGAAAAAACAGATTTGATCACATAAAAATGTAACACATCTATTTGGCAAAACGCAGATCACATTAGAACAAATGGCAAGCTAGAGAAACCATTTGCAAGTGTCATGGCAAAAAACTGATATCCATAACAATTGAAATTTTCTAACAAAAAAAATCCAATGAAAAAGAGTACAAAAGCTCTCAAACTGCAATTCCAAGAGAAGAAATTTGCTTACAAATATTTGAAAAGTGTGCCTCAGTTGTGTGAAGCATCTCTCTCACTCTCTCTGTCTCTCTGTCTCTCTCTTTTTCTATCCCCTCTCTCTACATGTCCTCAGGTGACGATTTAAAAACGTTTTTAAGTATATATAGCCATTTCTCAACCTTCTGATCATAAGAATTAAAGATATTTATTTATAGCAACCATTAACGGTACTATCATAACCTAGTGGATGTACAAACTAGTGCAAACGTTTTGGTAAGTAAGAGGAAAATATATAAGTGTGTTCAAAGTTTATATTTGCATTTTAAAATATCTCTCAAAGTGTCTCATAGGAATTAATCCTAGGTAAATAATTATAGAAATTTGGAAAGATCTCTTTGTAAAGATAGTCATCACAGCATTATTTGTTATTACAAAATAATTGGAAACCCACATTATATCAATAGAAGTTGGACTAAGTGAATAAGGTTTATGCATACAATGCTGTATTGTGCTACCATTAAAACAGAAAAAGGATGAGTTTAGTCTTTGTCATGAAAAAGGTTATATTCCATAATGTGTGGGGAAAATAAAAAGCAGATCACAGAACAGTGATGGTTCTCAGGATGTGGAATATGCATGCCATATATGTGCAAAATCTCTGGAGGAATAAACATAAAGTTCTTGAACGAGTTAACTCTGAATGATGGCCTTTGTGGTACAGTGACACTTGGATCCAAATGTCAAAAGACACTTGTCTTTTTACTTCCTACTTGACCAAATAATATAGTCTGAATGTTTCCACTATCAGATATAACATTTCTAAATACTTGTTAACTAAAGATATTTACAATTGGGGGGTGCAAAGAGTGAAATGCAGAAGAAATATACATGTTAACGAACCTCTTTGGTCTTGGAGGAGAGGTAGAACATAGGAAACAATTTCCAAGGAAAGCACCCTTAAGAGTTTGAGATGAATGTTCAGGGGGAAGCATGCCAAGGCCTTGGAGTAAGAGATTACCCTCCGGGCTAACAGATGAGATGAGTTGGGGCCGTGCTAAATGCTCAGAGGCTAATAAAGTGGTAAAAATGGTAGTGGTAATGCTCCCGAAATATTTTCTGGGTTCCGCCCTAGGAAACAGTTCATCCAGAATAGTGTAACCAAAGGTAGTTAAATGTGAAGAACCATGGGGAGATGATCTGGTCCGGGTCCTTATGGAAAAGGTAGAAACAAGCCCGCCCACAGAAAGGAAGTCTCCAAGGTCACAGAGCAGCGGTTACAGCCCATATGCCTGGTTTTCCTTCATGAGAATTTTGCCCTGTGAGAGAAGCTCATTCTCTCCAACCCCACAGTGTCTGCAGAACCAAGAGTGTCAGGAAAGCAACACACTTCACCTCTGCTCATTAGACTGTATTGGCAGGCGCTGCCCGCAAAGGCAGGAGGCTGGTGACTTTGATGGCCCAGGGGGGCTGTGGAGGATAAAACCTCACCAAACACATCTTCCCTCCCTCTCCCCATCCGTCAGCCCCCCTCTGACCTTCTAAGATTGTCAGCTAGCCAGAGGAAGCATCGGAGGACTTCCCAGACAACTTTGCATCATTATTCCTTTGGCAAAATTTAAACATTTTTTTCCTTCTGAGAAGGGAAAAACAATAACATCAAAGGTGTTATTTATTACATGGCCACAGCTAAAGGGAAGTCATTCCACAGTATGAATTTTGTCCTTATCTCCAACCCCTGCTCATTCTGCATTTTCTCCACGTCCGTCTTTGACCTCAACATTCCTTAGTCATCTCGCTTGATGCTCCTAATTCTCTCATCCTTTCTTATCTCCCATTTTCTCATGTCCTTTCCCTACTTTCTATCCTTCTTTCTGGGTTCAGCTCCAGGAAACAGTTCATCGCTTTTGCTCACCCTCCTTTTGTCCCATCCCTCCTTCTATCCTCACATCTCATCTTCATGCCCAATCCTGTCCCATTGACCACTGCCATAGACCAATTCCAGCATGTCATAATTTTAAGAGTTTCATCAAAAGGTTGATGAGACTTGGGGACTCAACAGGGTTGAGTCACACATGTAGTCACCTGTTGGGAATGGCTAAAGGCATTTCCCCAAACCTGAATAGGAAACTGATTGTGGCTGCCAGACAGTTAAAGGGCATCTTAATCTACATGTTATTGCCTCCTACTGGCCAAACACCTGAACAGCCGTAGGCTATTCCCATTCTGACAATGGACTCTGTACCCTTTGAAACCTTACCCTTTGAAGTGTATTATCTCCACCTTGCCTTAGGACAAATTGTGTTAATAAAAGCAAGGGTCCAAGACAAGGAGGGACTCTTCAGTTCCTTTAGCTGAAGGTCCTCTGACCCCCAATGCCTTTCAAAATTATATCTCGTCTCTGGACTCTTTATTAGTCTCTGGATTCCTATGTCATCTACACGCAGCCCCTTTTCCAGATTCCTGAACCCTTCTTGATGCTGGGACATGAACCCTGGCATAAATGGACGCCCGAAGTGGGGCTTTCTGAACCCTAGAGCGACAACAATAGACCACTCTCATGTCTTTTTCCCCATCCCATTTCAGCTCATCCTTCCAGTTCCTTGGCTCCAAGAAGAGATCACAGAGCAGACGAGCTCCAGGTGTAGCCATGGGCAGTTTTAGGAGTGATACAGCTGAGGGACATCACAGCAGAACTGCCAGGACAGGGAAATAGCCTTCCGATGGAGGCTGGAGAAGAGACACAAATCAGGAATGGATGAGCTGAAGCTGGATGAACACCAAGAAGTGGAAATTCTCTGGGCTGGAGCTGCACTTTTGTACTAATCCTGAAATTAAATTCAGAAAGAAGCATCACGCCCAGGGACTACATCATGGATATTTTCTGAGCTAGGAGTTTTGGGAGAGAAAAGTAAGACTGGAGGAGAAGGTTATGGTGGACATTCTACATTGAAAAGTCTCGGGATATGGGTGGAGCATAAGCGCTTACTCTTTCAAAGGCTTTGCCATATATGTGGGGAAGATGACTCAATAAGAGAAAAATATGGCAGAGGATGGAGATGAAGCATACCTTTTTTGACCTGAAGATATATCATTTATGCATTAATGTAGCTTTTATTTAATAGGCTATTTCCCTCTCTAGACTCTACCTGTCCCCTAGATATCGTACGGGGTTTTTATGTTATTAAAGAAAAGGAACTGATTTTCTTGGAGGGGAAAGGCGAACAGAATATAATATTCCTTGGCACTAGTTTAAAACAGCTTTCTGTACCCTGATCGAGAAGGAATCTCACATTTCCCACGAAAAGAAAACTTCAGAGTTCTATTCTTGGCAATTAGGGCTGTGATTAAGCAAATAATCCTTCCTTGCTGCCCAGAACTACCTGGCTTCCAAGGTGTCAACTCTACATGGAAAGTGAGCATAGCCAAAAACAAGGTAGCAACTTGCCAGGGCATATCATAACCTCATGTCCCCTTATCTACCTGTCTTTCTCTATAGCACAAATCACGACGTGATCTATCATATATGATGCTTATTTATTTCATTTCTTTGCTTTCCCTTCATTATAATGTGAACTGCAAGATTTTTAAAAAACAGAAAAAAGAAAAGAATGTGAGTTGCATGCGTGTAGAGCAGTGGTTCTCAACCTTCCTAAGGCCTCGACCCTTTAATAGAGTTCCTCATGTTGTGGTGACCCCGAATTTCATTGTTACAAATTGAACATAATTAAAGCATAGTGATTAATCACAAAAACAATATGTAATTATATATGTGTTTTCCGATGGTCTTAGGCAACCCCTGTGAAAGGGTCGTTCGACCCCCAAAGGGGTCGCGACCCACAGGTTGAGAACCGCTGGTGTAGAGACTTTTGTCTATTTTGTTCATCTGTGCCCTACAGGAGCATTTCTATCACAGAAGCAATTCAATAAATATTATGGTATGAATAAATTATGTAGGATTTCTTTGCAGGACAAACACAACACACAAAAATTTCCAACATGAAGACCTGTAAACGAATCATTCATAATCATTTCCCCAGGTTCCTGACTTTATGGGAAATTTTTCTGAACCCAAAGAGGCAGAAAAGGAGAGACCCTATCACCCCTCAGGTCAACAACCGCCTCCCCACAAATACCCGCCACAGGGCACCCTGAACATCAGGGTTTCTAAGGCTGTAGATAAGTGGGTTCAGCATGGGGTTGATAACTGTGTTGAAAATCCCAACCCCTTTATCCTTATCTGAAGCCTCCTCTGTACCCAGACGCATGTAGTTGAAGATACCAGTTCCATAGAAGAGGCAAACCACAGTGAGATGGGAGCCACAGGTGAAGAAGGCCTTCTTCCTGCCCTCCACTGAGCGGAT